TTCCTTATTCTATTAAATGTTAGCAGTGGAAATGTGCTTAAGAGTCAGGTGAAATGAAAAGCTGATTTGGTCAATTAGTAATGAAATTAAATCTTAGTTATGTGAATGCACCTTCTATATAATTACATATACAGTGCTGTTCAAAAGTTTGGGATCGGTAAGATTTTTAATGTTTTTGAAAGAAGTCCTTTATGCTCACCAATGCTGCATTTATTTGATCAAAAAACAACAACAAAAAAGAAATATTACAATAAAAAACTGTTTTCTATTTAAATATAATTTAAAAAGTAATTTAGTGCTGTGATGCAAAGTTGAATTTTCAGTATCATTAGTCCAGTCTTCAATGTTACATGATCCTTCAGAAATCATTTTAATTTGATGATTTGCTGCTCAAGAAATTATTACTATTCTCAATATTGAAAGCAGTTGTGTACATTTTTCCCCAGGATTTTTTGATGAATAGAAAGTTCAAAAGAACAGCATTTATCTGAAATAGAAAGCGCTAAAAATTACATTTTAAAATGTTCAAATAGAAAACATTTATTTAAATTGTAATAATATTTCACAATATTTGTTTTTTTATAAAATCAGGCCATTGCACACTGAGTTTGAGATTTTCGTATGCGTTTTTTTGTATTCGTGATTCAGTGGCTCTAAATTGTCAAAACACGATTAAAACTCCATTCAAACTGCTTGCTACGGATGCGAAAAACGCAGAAAATCAAACCCGATTTGATTTTTTTTTTTAATGACGGACGAAAGTTTCGGAGGCAGTGTGCAAGCGTGATTGACATAATGTGAGGTCGTATTTATTTTTAATGTGCGGAAATTTCGGACACGAATTTCCGACTCGGTGTGCAATGGCCTTTAGAGAGCATTAAAAACATAAAACTCACAGATCCCAAATTTTTGAACGGCAATGTATATAATGTGCAGTATTATATATAATGTTTTAATACCCCAGTCTCTTTGTACAGGTACTTCCCATTTGGAATTGTATTTCTGGTTGCTGGGAAAATCCTGGACATGCATGATCCTGCAGTCCTCGCAGAGAAACTGGGAATGTACTTCATCACAGTTCTGGCAGGGCTGTTCGTACATGGTGTAATTTTGCTGCCAATGTTCTTCTTCATGTTCACCAGGAAAAACCCCTTTAGCTATATCCGTGGCCTCCTGCAGGCTCTGGTTATCGCATTGGCAACTTCATCCAGGTAAGGAAACCATTTTGAACAGGCTTTTAGCTCACTGCAACATAAACTAGAGTTAATCCACGATTTATTTCAGAGAATAGTTCAGATGAATCATATTAAATGGAATCATATTTTTATATGATATGAATAATATTAATAATATTATATTTGAAATTAATATGCAACTAATGGTTTTATTCCTTATTCATCTTTCTCCAGTTCAGCTACTCTGCCCATCACAATGAAATGCTTACTGGAAAACTGCCATGTGGATCGTAAAATCGCTCGATTTGTACTTCCTGTGGGTGCCACTATCAATATGGATGGCACAGCACTATATGAGGCAGTGGCAGCCATCTTCATTGCTCAAGTCAATGAGTACGAGCTTGACTTTGGACAACTTGTTACTATTAGGTAAAGTATTTTGGCTACATTCAGAACGATGTACACTACTAGTCAAACGTTTGGAATAATTAAGATGTGTAATGCTTTTGGAAGAAGTCTCTTATGCTCACCAAGGCTGCGTTCATTTGAAAGATCTTTTCTAATTGAATTTTCAAGTGTAATTTATTCCTGTGATGCAACGCTGAATTTTCAGCATCATTACTCCAGTCTTCAGTATCACATGATCCTTCAGAAATCATTCTAATATGATCATTTGCTGCTCATAAAACATTTCGAATTATAAATGTAAACAGGTTTTGCTGCTTAATATGTGGAAACCATGATATATTACTATTCAAAAGTTTGAGGTAAGATTTTTCTTTAAATGAAAGAAATCAATACTTTTATTCAGCATGGATACATTTGATCATAATTGATCAAAGTGACTGTAAAGATGTTTTGTCTATTTCAAACAAATACTGTACTTTCTATTCATCAAAGAACCCAGAAAAAAATTTAACAGTAATGGTAAATTTAACTATTCACAGAAATATTAGAGCAAAAATGGTTTTCAAAATTGATAGTTGAACTAGTTGAGCACCAAATCAGCATATTAGAGTGATTTCTGAAAGGATAGTGTGACTCAGACTAAGACTGGAGAAACTCCATCACAGGAATAAATTACATTTTAAATAAAACCGTTCTGATATCTTCACAATATTACTTCTTTTAACAGATAGTTCGACCAAAAATGAAATTTAGTCATTAATTACTCACACTTGTGTCGTTCCAAAGACCTTCATTCATCTTCGGAACACAAATTAAGATATTTAGTTGAAATCAGAGAGGTTTCTGAACCAGCCATAGGTTTATTGCAACTTTCAAGGCCAAGAAAGGTAGTAAAAATATTGTTAAAATAGTACATGTGACTAGAGTGGATCAACCTTAATGTTATGAAGCGACAAGAATACTTTTTGTGTGCAAAAAACAACCCTTTAATTAACAATTTATTTGGTTCTGTGTCAGTCTCTTACGCTCATCACATAGTAAACAGTGCAGCAATTCCAGGTTCTACGTCAGAACGCAGGCTCATTATTGGCCAGCTCTTGCGTCAGCACCACACACATACATTGTGTTACTCACGTGAACAGTGTCGGCCAATAATGGGTTCTTATGGGTTTGGATTGACATGAGGGTGAATAACTGAAGGGTTAGTTTACCCCAAATTAAAATTGACATTAATGACTCGCCCTCATGTCGTTCCAAGCCTGTAAGACCTCCGTCTATCTTCAGAACAGTTTAAGATATTTTAGATTTAGTCCGAGAGTTTTCTATCCCTCCATTGAAAATGTACGGTATACTGTCCGTTAGAGTTTTTTGAAGCATCAAAAATACATTTTTTTGTCCAAAAATAACAAAAACTACGACTTTATTCTTCTTCTGTCTTCCGGTTCTGTTGTCAATCTGCGTTCACGAGTCTGCAGTGCTGACGTGTAATCTGGTGCGTCTGTGTATTCAGGTTCAAATAAATATGCCTGGGCAAAAAAATGCAATTCTTCCTCTGTATGGAAATCCTTAGACATGTTTGCGAAGATTTTTTTTCTTTACAGAGTGCGTCTCCCTCAGACTGTAAACGAAGCTCGGGTGCACAAGATTACACGTCAGCAGCGTCTTACGCCACCAGTGTCAATGAACGCAGCTTGACAACAGAGAATACAATGCTCGTAGAACACAAAAGTCTACGTTTTTGTTATTTTTAGACCAAATGACTGTTTCAACAATTCTAACTAACCCACTGATGTCACGTGGACTACTTTGATGATGTCTTTATTTCCTTTCTGTACAATGACAGTATACCGCACATACGTTTTCAGTGGAGGGACAGAAACCTCTCGGACCAAATCTAAAATATCTTTTTGGTTGAAGCAACCATTTAATGGTAGAAATGTCATTTTTGGGTGAACTAATCCTTTAAATAAATGCAGCCTTGACTTGAGCATCTTTCAAAAACCTGAATTATTCCAAACTTCTGACAGATAGTATACAGTAACAAAGCTGTATTTGCCAGTGATCGCCTCATGTGACTTGGCTGATTCTTTTCTCAGTATCACAGCGACAGCAGCAAGCATTGGAGCCGCTGGAATCCCTCAGGCTGGTCTTGTTACCATGGTTATTGTGCTTACCTCAGTGGGTTTGCCTCCAGATGATATCTCACTCATTGTAGCTATCGATTGGATCCTGTAAGTACAACATACTGCATGAGTGCTACTACTTATAAACCACAATAGAAAGTCAATGTCATGTGTATTTTTTTTTTAATAGGGACCGATTTCGAACAATGATCAATGTGCTTGGAGACGCCTTAGCCGCAGGAATCATGGCTCACGTGTGCAAAAAGGACTTTCAGAAAAACGTCCCATCCACAAACCCCTCAGAAAGAGTAAGATATATCCACTATGTGCTCAACCATATTTCTAACTAGAAAATATGCAAATAAGCAAGTATCGTGCAGTAGTGGTCCGTTGTTCACCTGCAACAAGTAGTCAAAGCTGACATATTTGACAACTGAATAATGGCTGTATATTGTCTTGCAGAGAGATACTTTGATATCTTTTGGAAACCAAAGCGTGCAAAGTTTTCCCACATCTGAAACTCCACTACTGGGTAATAGGGACTACATCTTAGAGGTTATGGGCGATCAGGTGATCGAGAAGCCGACATGTTACAACCTCTGCCAAGTCTAACTTTGACAGATGATACCAAGGAGGAACAGAAGCTGCCTTGACTTCACAAAAACCTTCCCTCTTTACCTCCCCTTTGTTATATATATATATATATTTGTGCCATTCTGTCTTTTTACATCACAGATGTTACTGTTACCTCAACATTCGCCTTTGGTGAACTTGAAAATTGAGGATATTTGAGTGCTTTTGACACCTTAACTTGGAGGTTTTGTAAATTACAAAAACATGTTTTGTTTTTTTAATGTTCATCTTTTAGAATTGCCTTAATGCAGTAGTTAATGACAGCAAAACTAAAACTAGACCACAATAATAAAACCATGTACAAACAGGAACTTTTACACAGCTAGTAAATCAACTGGGGCTCCAATTACGGATCATCAGTTGCCTTGTCATACAGTGTACGGTGACAAACTGATTTTTTTAATGACTGCAAGAACAGCGATTGTGTATCTCTATTACTAATGTTCAGAGCACACAATCACTGTTCATTTCAAGTAGGATGGAATATAGATTATCATGCTTGATTATGTTTGTTTATTTTCTTAATAAAATTGTTAATCTTGTTATTGGTCTTCATTATTCATACTGTACAAAGATTAATTTATACTTTTTAAAATTTACCAAAAAATGTAAATACTCCTAAATCTACTTCACTATCAGTTCACTAATACCAAGACACAAATTTTCTGATTTTGCAATGATGCCTGATATTTTATTTCACAACTACACGTTAGACAGTAGCTCATAACAGAAGTTCAATGTAGAATCAAAAAGTACTTAAAAAAAATTAAGACACTCAATATCAACACATAAAACCATACACAAGCTATATAAATAATTCTACCATTCAATAAACTTCCAGTATATTCTACATAAATTAAGGCTTAAAATGAGCAACCGTCCAGTAAATCCTATTTGATATTTCTTACAACTGGTATCTCAGTTGACTTAACATTGGGCAATATAATTTTTTTAAACATCAGGATATCAAAAAGATGAAAAGGGAAACGGTTGCTATAATAATTACTACTATTCATTATGAATCACTTTTCAATATTGCACATATGCCAAAACGTGCACAAAAAGAGAATGCCAAGTGTTTTATATAAATGACATGTAACCAACAGTGGCTGTAAAGCTGCTAATAGGTTCACATGAACCATAAAGTAACAGATGATGCAAGAATAGTAAACTGCTTATTACAAACCTGACCAAAAACAGTGAGTCACTGTACAAAAACATTTAGGATTAATGTCAGTCACCAATAATATAAATATATGCACGCACACACAATACAAACCTTAAGTCATGTAGCAGAGGGAGCCTAAGAACTGTCTGTGCTGAAAATGATCAATTTACACAGGGCATCTTGGAAAAATTCATGGGTTTGTCCAACAACAGAGGAACCTATGTGGGGCTTTACAAACTAATATTTGGAAGACCTCAAAAGCTGAGGAACATGACTGTACAACTGTTAGATTGAGCTTCTATCCATTTCTATCTTCCCCACTGGTCATTACTGTGAACTACAACTGAAAAACTCTGGAAAAAGTTGAATATGAACCACTGAGAAAGGCAAAATAAACGGCACTCCATTGGCCAAATCAAAAAAGTCAAACGTTGTCAGATTGTATATTTATGATTTGGTCTGATGCCTGAAAAATAAATACTAAAGATCTCATCCTCAAAATTAAAAATATGAAATGTGGTAATTTAGTGTTTGTCATGAGGTCTCGGGGTTTAAAGACCCATTCGCACCAAGGGCTATCGCCATCAACTAAGATAGCTCTAAACAAACAGTCCTTCTAAATATATATTAGCATGGTACAAACCACAACTAGAACGGCACAGAAAAACAATATCATTGAATTACTTTCGGAACGATTTTGAGCTAAGGCATAACATCAGAATCCACCTGATTTTAAAAGGATTGTTCACCCAAAAATTTAAATTTGTCAATTTACTCACCCTCATGTTGTTCCAAACCTGTATGAGTTTCTTTCTTCTGCTGAACAATATACTTTGAAGAATGTTGGTAACAATACAGTTGATGGACCCCATTGACTTGGTATTTTTTCTCCTACTATGAAGTCAATGGGCACCATAAACTGTCTGGTTCTCCTTCAAAATATCTTCTTTTATTTTAAGCAGATAAAAGACAAAGGTTTGTGACAATTTGAGGGCAAGTCATGAAAAAAATAGGGATAGTTTTGGGTTAACGCTTGGTTGAAGCTTGAGCGTTTAAAATGGCAGACAAAAAAAAAAAAAAAAAACAGCACACTTAAGATTTAATAAAACATTCTTTACCACTGGTGTGGATGCTAATATAGTTATGAGTGTTAATTCTTGGTATGCAAGGGCCTTAAACTCAGCCATCTGCATCTGTAAATATGGAAATAGTCTTGACTTGCACTGCATTGTACCTATGAATAGAGAAAATTAAAGAACGAATTAAAAGATAAAATAAAGAAACAAAACAAAAAGTTGAGCAAAACAAAATAAAATTTAATGATTGTAAATGCCATGTGAAACAAAATGAAAGGTTTCCAAAGGAAAAACAAAAGCGAAAAAAAAAAAAAAGAACAAAACAAAACACAAATATCACAAGGCAGTCTTAAAAAGCATTTGCATTAGTACTGGATATCCATTTTCAAATAAACAAACTAAACTTAATGTATTAGCCTAGAGAAACAAAAACAAAAGAAAACGCAAACCATATACAGAAGATGCTGATGCTCAAATGTGATTACACTTTACATAAATACTCAGTACCTAGTATTCAATGTCCAAATATTTTTGGAATATTCTTAGGGATGTGCAACATGCACCTCTGCCAGTGAAACTAAACCTTCCATTCATGTCTTTGGTCCTTCTTAGTTCAGTCTTTTCAGAGGGTCCCTTACAAAAGATTAACAAGTTAGTTAAAGATTTTCCCCTCACTAAAACAGGCCTTTTCTTTGCCGTTACCTCTTCTCTAAGGAGCACTCAGCATGCAGGATTTAAGACTCAGATTGTTGTGAGATGGGAAATGAGATTCCTGCCAAACCAAAAAGTGCTACATTATTGAGGGCAGAGTGGAAAAATGACATCAAATTAAGGCATCATAAATACTGAAGAGCTATATAGGATGGAGATACTGACAAAAGAAAGAAAAAAAATCTGAGTTTTAAATCCAGCATCGAGTGAACGAGGTGTCCGGCCACATATGGCACATAGCAACAACACCAGGCTAACATCAGAGACAAATTTGAATTAAACGAAAAATTGGTCGTATATTGGGATAAACCAGAACGCCTAAAACACTTGCATTTGAAGCATTCAACAGCTTGAATCTTAAAAGAAACTGTCTAAACAAGACTGCGAAACTTGAACATTTGCGAAGACTTGATTACACTAAAAATAATAATTTTCTTTTTCAAAACGTCACCAATTTCTCTGGCTTCGCAGAAAACCCCCTTCTTCATTTTCCTGGCAACCCTGCTTTCTACTTGTGCGACTTGCTTGTTTTGAACGATACTTGTAAAATCTTGTCCCCGAGGCGGTAGCCGTTGAGGCTGGCGATAGCCATGGCAGCCTCTTCATAGTTTGTCATGGTAACAAACCCAAATCCCTTGCACTTGTTGGTGTTGAAATCACGGATCACTTTGACATTTGTGACAGCACCGAAGGGCCCGAACATCTGCCACAAAATGCCCTCATCTGCATCCTGGCCCAGGTTGTAAATAAAAATACACCAGCCTGACGAGGAGTTTCCAGGCATGTTAACGCCAGACATGCCGCTCATGTGGTCTACACTCATAGGAGAGAACCTGAAGACAGGAAATAGCATCATTTAGGTCAAGTTCATCAGATATGCATACATTTTTGAAACTGACGAGATATCCCTCTAAAGTCACCATGGAATATAATTTTATTGGAATACGGTGGTATTGAATATAAAGGGGTTTCTCTGTGCACTTCATTACTTTTTAAAATGCATGTGCCCTCAAACTTTAATCCAAATAACTTCCCCCTCCCACGCAGCAACATCTTTTCTCCTCTCTGATGAAATGTCTTTCAGAGCGAGGGCGGGACAAACTGTCACTCACATGAGATCACAGCAATAGCCACAACGAAATGAAGTCCTGCCCTAATTTTTTCACTTCACTCAGATATATATATATACACACACACATCACAATAGGGAAGAAAAGACAAATCGCAACTGTCATTTCACACCAACTTTAAGAGCGATATGCTATTGGGAGTGCCTGGAGATGCAGCTTGGTACACTCACTTTACGTGGCACACTTGTCCTACAAGCTGTGAAAAATAATTTTCACTGTGATACTTGAACTTAGCAAAAAATCTGCAAATCACGTGTCCCGGAAAAATGGGGCTTGGTCCCAATGGATCAACTGCAATTCATTGCACCCCTAATGATTAATGAACACTCACTTATGATTGCCATCTTACCAGAGAAGGAGAAAAATCTACTCTAGTAAGTAAACATGTTCTTGTCCCCCAAAATGTTGGCACTCAAGTGCTTCCCTCCATGTTTTCTGCTGTAAATCTTTTATTTTTATTTTCCCATGCATGCGCAGCATTGCACACCCCTGGATATGCCAACCAAGCAAATAGAGAAATACAATATTGGACTTCATTCACCTGAATCTCTGGGCCTGGTGGTGGACGGGCCCACCAAAGCGGCGAGGCTGTGTGTGGTAAACCTGGGAAATAATTTGTGAGTTCTTCACTTGGTTGGGACTGGCAGCAAACTTGACAGTGATGGGCTCTGCAGCGCCTGGTGGCTTCTGCCCATTCAAGTCCTTAATTGCATCCTCTGCCTCCGACCTCTTGTCAAATCGAATGAAAGCCACACCACGAGAGAGTCCTGCAATGAGGATAAAAAGGTGAATGCTTTAAAGGGACACTTCACCTATTTGGATTAAGCTTTGTATCATCAGAAAGATTTCAGTGTTGCAATTCCTGCTTAGAATGATGTAAAAGTCTACATTTTGCATCATTCTAACAAGGAAGTCCCCATATCTTTGTAGAGGGGCTGAGACTAAACTCTCATTCTTCATTTTTCCAGGGGGTAGGACCCACTCACTCACGCTACAGACCTATTACAGACCAGTGGGTGGGACTTCACTTTCTGAAACTAAAAACCATATCCTACATGTTGTTTGGAAGCTAAGCTAATAGGCGCTGTGGAGCCAGATGTGAAGTTACGACAATGGCAAAATGTAGCTACTCAATATATGGAAGAAGAGGATTTTGAAAGTCTGATGCTCGAATCAGATGTATGTGGCTACTTTTGCGAGCCGCAATATAGCAAAGAGCAGCTGAGGCTGATGGAGGCGGCTGCCTGTAGCGGATGAGGAGACCGGACTGGCTCGAGCTGGGGCAGACTGGTGGTACCTGTGCTCTCACTAGGGTCCATCTGCTGCAAAGAATTTTAACGATGGCAATTTCTCCTGGACGAAACAGAGGTTTGTGTTGTGAACCTTCCTAGTTCCGCACCGCATATATTCTGACTGAACATCCCGGTCTCATGCAATAATCACAATTTCAAAAGAAACACAAACAAGGAGTAATTCAGTAATGAGTTCGCCAACTAACTAGAAATTGTGTGAAATGTATTTCAAGCTCTGGTGGGACCTTGCCTTGTAGACGGAAGAGTGATTTCTCTAATAGAAGAATACCTCATAGGCACTGTTCTGGATTAGGAGTGGCTTGCGGAGCTTTGCAACATGGGAGTTGTTGTCTTTCATACAAATGCCCCCTAAAGTTACTTTCTGTCTTTCCTTGGTCAAGAAGGCATCATATTCCAAATTTATTTTACATTTCGACTACATTATGACCCACTTTCAATAAAGATTAATGTTCCCATGGTGAAATGTTCCTTTAATGCACATTAGACATTCTTACAGGACATTCTTACACTTACAGGACATTCCAGGTATCAAAAACAACTTTGCTCATCTACCAACCTGACGCTTGATCGACGAGGACACGGGAGTTGATTATTCTGCCATAACGTGTAAACATTTCTTCTACGTCCTTCTGCGTCATTGTTTTAGGTAGCCCACTGATGTAAAGGTTGGCATCCTTTATGGTGTCAGAGCTTGGCCTGGCATATGACACCTGTCAGAAAGAGCAAAGTTAAAAGATCAGATCCTGAAGAAATACCTCCCCTGGAGATTACTAGGAAATCTCTTAAACTATGGCTAAATAAAAAAATAAATAAAGGGGGATGCAAACTTAGATTCTCCAAAAAAAAATGTAAACTGATATTAATTTCTTTGAATTATTTTCAAATAGGGAACACCCACCCAACAAATAGTTTCCATTGGTCCTTTACAAATATTTAATTTTATAGAAATGCAAAAACTATTTCATAGAATTCAAACATTAAAGGAACATGTTTGCAACCTGTAAACCATAGATAAAACAAATGTTTAAATGAATCTAAATATTGAAAAGCCTGATAAAAAGGCCACAACCAAGATTCCATCAGGTCTGAGCAATTCTACTCCAACAACTTTACTTTGTTCTCGCTGCCTTGTTCTCACAACCGGTGTTCTGAAGCAATGACACAATTTAACTTTACACAGGAGCACCTTTTGTCACATTACCTTGATAGTTTTAGACTGTAGTCTCAGTCCATTGAGAGTACTGATTGCTCTTTCTGCATCATTAGGGTTAAGATAGTTAACAAATCCGTACCCTAAACTGTGGCCTAGAGAAAAAAAAGGAAAACAATAAAACAAACAAAACAAAAAAAAGTTGAAACGTTCCAAATACAAAGGAAAAAAACATCCTAGTATCAAATGTTAAACTTCTGGGAAAAAAACTGAAGCCAACAAATAAATCCACGTTGACTTGGGACAGGCCTGAGAAAAGAAACTAAAAATATATATAGTTTTTTTTTTTTCTGTCAACACTGAAATGAAGACTACACAATTGTGAAGAAACCCTTCCAGTGCTTCAAATGTTTGTCTAAAAGCGCATTTTTTAAAATAAATTCATTCTGTATTTAAACTGACATCATGGCTACATGCAAACCCTGCGAAATAAAGACACTACATCCCTAAACCAACAAAGACAAACAATATTTTCTCTCAACAATTATTTGTGTGTCTGCTTTGAAAGCAGTGTGCCAAGTGCTGATAAATACTTGCCTGCAACTTTGTCACGAATAAGTTTAGCAGACTCCACCTCCCCGATGCTGCTGAAGAGACTCCGCAGCTCATCTTGGCTCATATTCTGAGGCAAGTAGTTGACGATGAGGTTTGTTTTGGCATCTTTAGGCTCATCGGCCATGTGATCTTCGTAACCGTTCGACATGTCATAGACCTCCTAGAAATAATCGAAACAAGTTTCTGTGAGGGTTATATATTTTTGCCAATAGAAATTTAATTAGACAATATTGAAATATTACTGCAAACTCATTATGCACTGTTGATACCTGACTGTACCTGCACAGGTACAGAGACTCAAAATTAGGCCTAGATCTTTCTGAATTTCTCAATTACAGCTGGCAAGCCAGTAATAGAATGACAAACACGCAATTAAAGAGAATTAGAATAAAATAAAATCACTTTATCAAATAAAAATAAATAAATGTGAGATTACATTATGCTTACACTTAGGCACTTAAAGGCTAAATTTCATTGGCTTTTTTCCATTGATAAAATGGAGCACTTAAATTTTAAAAGACAGAAAAGCATCGAATTTGTGAATTAAGGGATTTATATTCTTGCCTAGGGAATAAATAATGTAACAACAAGTATCTGCAAGACAGCTATTCTGACTTCAATATGCCTCAATTACAAATCCCCACTGAAATCATTTTGGCTGCATTTCTACTCTACATTACTCAAATGAGAAAAATAAAAAAATGAGAGAAAGAGAGGGAAAAAAAACAGTCAAAAAAAAAACATTACATATCGTTAACAAGGAACTGGAACAGTACAACAAAGAAATACAACATTTCCTTTCAGAGCATATTTTACCTTTATCTTATTAATATGCAAGTTTCAAAATGTTACCTTACCTAAACCACAGTGTTTGTTAATCACCAAACAAGAAAGTTCAATATACCACAAAAATGAATATGTATCAAGCTAAAACAGTAAAAAAAAAAAAAGTGAGCAAAAGGACAGATGTAACTATCAAAGGGACTCACTGTACTGCTGTTCTTTTACATTCTATGATCACTGCCTCCAATGGAGTATCAGTCATTGCACATGACCACAATTCATTTAACACAAAACCAATAAAATATGGTAGTGAACGTATGGTATTAAAAGGGGGTCTTGGAGTCTATGTCTAACCCCTTCAAGGCATTTTAGGTGAAGGAGGAACTGATCACTGTGTCCAGGTCACCATGATTATTCTAATCATGGACAGTGCGTCCCATTCATTTTAGAAGAGAGGTCTTATTGTGTATTCAACATGGGTAGCCAGTCAACCTTCAAGGCTGAAACAAACAGGCATTATTACAGTCCCTCCCACACAACCCATCACTGGAGGTTTTGATAAAGTGGTCTGCATCAGTCATAAACAATTCTAGTCACTCTCTATCCGACTACTTCGATAGCAAACTGGTCCCTATAAAACATGGTTAAACTTTGCTGCATTTGTCAGGCCAGATACCTTCAGATGACATTATGCAACACCTAATAACAGGTCTACTGCATTCAGTGAAAACTCAAGTCTACCTCAGATGGCAGCGTTAAACCTCAAAGGCTACAGCACTATATGGACGAAAACAGCCTACAAGCACTAAACACTACTAACTCCAGCTTACAGGTTCAGTTTATTTTTAAAATCCACATTCAGTCCCTGATGGACGCAAATTCTACTCACTTTTAAGTATCTAACGTGTCCCCTTCTGACTGCCATGAAGAGCCGTCACAGATCCCAACTCTGAAGATACCAAAAACAAAATAAGGTAATAAAAATACACGCTGACGAAAAGGGGTGGTAGGGAAGGCAAAGGTGGGTTTGGGGGTTCAGAGTAAAATAAATAAACTAAAATAAAAGAAGGGCAAAAAGATAAGATGAGCCACCTTCTGATATAACCTGTGGAAAAAGAATAACAACCATTGGCCATTAAGACTGGTGTAATTTCAGCGTGTATTTTTAGCACCTCACTTTGAGTCTATACTGCCTGCACAACATCTCAATGTTGACATTGTGTACTTGTTTTATTTATATATATATATATATATATATATTATTTGTAGTGTTTATAAATGGAAAAAATAACAATACTACAGTGTGAATACTATATAGTTAAGAATTTAAAAGCAAAAATGTTTCATTACTTTATTTTTTTCCCTTTTTTTCCCCCCTTTATTATTTCCGGCTAATTTTGTGAATCTATTTTGAACTGCACGAATGAAAATAATAATATTAATGGGTTAAATAAACATTCTAAAACACAACATGGCTGATTATTAACCTTCATCTTAAACTATGCCAAACTACGTCCACCTTGTACAATGCGGTCACATTTTTATAACTATTTGATGGTCTAAACTCTAAATTTCATAATTCTCATGCACTCAGGACAAATTGCATTTATACGACATTTACACGGGCGGTTAAGCTTATTAAACTTATCAGAACAAAAATGTAATACTATCATACAAAAATTAAAATACTGATTTGAACTTTGTAAGCGATTAAGAAAACGGAATAAACGACATTTGCAATTCTGTCTAGTCGTGGGGGCGTGGAATTTACAACTAACATTAACGTTACCCCAGCAGCAGGACATGCTAGCCATTGTTACGGTATCGTAGCTAAAGAACAACAACCTTGCGGCATTACACAGCATGTTTGTGAAGAATCAGCGATTCAAATAGGTCTAACATTATAATACCACACAACACGAGGCCTCGTTCCCCACACACCGTCCCCTTATTTTCGCGATGACTCGCTCGGTAAATCCCATGCAACTCTCGAGCTCAAACTCGAGCAGGCTGCGCTAAGGGGCCTAACTCAAATAAAGTCAGGCCTTAAACACCGATCACATTTATAACCGTTACTAGATCTAAATAAAACCATTTAAATGCATCATGAAGAGAAAAACAACAAGTTTAAAAATATATACATGTCGCCTTACCAATTTAAAAGTCTATCTGATTCTGCAGTAGACTGGATGCTCGCGGAGCTTTAGCAGAACGTGGCTTTTTGGCGCTGCGCTCTCGTGACACAAAAAACACGCCACAATGGAACTGTGCCGAGGAAGCGGAAGTCTAAACCCCTCCCACTTCCATAATCCATTGATCCATTCACATACAGATCAACAGTCACTAATAATAAAACCAGTCATTTTATTCAATATTAATAGATTTATTGTGCAAAATAAAACGCCCTTGCTGTGCGTGTATATAAAATATTTCTAGAACAGGTATTGTGAGACATCAATTCTACTTTAGATGAATGTGGAAATTTAGAAAACGTTAACTGGATCATATCATAGGGGTGATATCAAAATGATTCGAATTTCGTAACAGTGAAATATAAAATATACATATACAGTACCGGTCAAAAGTTTAGGAACATTACTATTTTTAATGTTTTTGAAAGAATTATCTTATTCTCAAAACAGTAATATTGTGAATTATTTTCTATTTTAATATACTTTAAAGTATTATTTATTTCTGTGAAGCAAAACTGAATTTTTATCAGACATTACTCCAGCCTTCAGTGTCACGTGATCCTCCATAAATAAATGTTGGAAACAGTTATATATTTTTTTCTGATACTTTTCTCAGGAATCTTTGATGAATAAAATGTTTTTAAAAAGAACAGCATTTATTTAAAATATAAATCTTTTGTAACAATATAAACTATCCATTCAAAAGTTTGGGATTAGTCTTTTTTTCTTTCTTTAAAGTTATAAATACTTTTTTCAGCAAGTATGTGTTAAATTGAAAAAAGTAATAGTAAATATTCATATTGTTAGAAAAAAATTATATTTTGAATAAAAAATTATTTTACTTAATTTATCAATGAATCCTGAAAAAAGTATCACAGGTTCCAAAAAATATTAAGCAGCACAACTGTTTGTAACATTGATAATCGAATCAGCATATTAGAATGATTTCTGAAGGATCATGTGACACTGAAGACTAATGGCAGAGTAAATACAGAGTAATGGCAGATGAAAATTCAGTTTTGCATCACAGAAATAACTTATATTTTAAAGTATATTAAAAAATAGAAAACTATTATTTGAAATTGTAATAATTTTTCACAATATTACTGTTTTTTCTGTATTTTTGATTAGAAAAATGCAGGCATGATGGGCATAAGATAATTTTTTTTCAAAAACATTAAAAATAGTAATGTTTCCAAACTTCTGACCGGTACATTTACATAATCATTGTTTACACATTCATGAGAAAAGTTGGTAGATATCATTTCCAACAGTGACATTTATTCTTTGTCCAGGATTCGATACTCTAGCGGGGGTTGATGTCTCATTAGCTGTGCCACTGTAATCCAAGACATTACCTGATGAGGGAAGGGTCAGAGATGACATTATAAATATTGTAAAAGATCAGGGAATAAATTAATTATAATTCAAGTCACAGAGCTCACCAGTACAAAGAAAACCACTAAAGAAGTCACCATGATGATGTCAAACACAAGTAGTAACTTCTCCTCAAGTTTATTTTGACAGCCCTGAATAGAAAGAAAACAATATTGAATCTTATAATGCTTCTAATTTACAGTCATTCCAAATAAAGCCTATTTTGTTCATTTTTAAACCTTTTTATAGAAATATTTCAGGTAAAATACAAGGTAAGGGGTCATGACATGAGAAATCAAATTTGCCATGATCTTTTGTCAAATAAGAGGTCTGTGCACCAAAACATACTCTAAGTTTAATCGCTTAAAACAGGGGTCACCAAACTTTTTTCTCTGGGGGCCACATTATCGTTCCTGACTGTGATGGGGGGCCGGGGCTATATAAAATAGAATTGTGTGACCAAGACCAAACTGACCACCAGCAGGCCTCATAGTAGAGATTACTAGCCTGGCACAGCCATATTTGTTTATCATTAATAGTTGTTTGCAAAAGTAGTAATCGAGTCTTCACACTTTGTTTTAATTTGAAATACCACAGATTTTCCATTTATTTATTTTCGAATACAAATAACATCAAACCTGTCAAGGTAAGAAACATCTGCCTAGTTGAGGTGAGTGGCACTGGTAAGGATGAATGAAAAATTATAAATTATAGGTAGGCCTGTTACTATTTATAATAATTGTGTACAGCACTTAATAAAGGTCAAATAAATAGGCCTATAAAATAAATAAATAAACATTGAAATTATAACAACAACATGAGTAATAGAACTAGTCAGCTCTTATGCCTATCCAGGTGAGCATGCTCAATAAACAACAAAATACCAAATGCAGACATGTTATTATTTTCCAAAAAGCAATTTAAAAAAATAGGCCATGACGACTTTTGGGGATTGCCGGTTCAAGTAGTGGGGGGCAGAGGGGTTGGGGGGCCAGTCAAAGGGGTGTGGCGGGCCTGATTCGGCCCACGGGCCTTAGTTTGGTGACCCATGGCTTAAAACCTTATCCTCATTGTAAACAAATAATTTATCAAGTTTTTCATCATATTTAATCAAGCTCCAAAAATGGCTCATTTTGATATTGCAGGATCTGTGTCATCACATGACATCGACAAATAGATATACACTGGTGTTCAGACGCTTTGGCCATGTGTCCACCAAGGTGTTTTTTTTCCCTGAGGCTAACGTATTTTTTTACAATAGTTTTCAATGGGAGTGCCACATTTTTAAAACGGAAGGAGTGTGACGAGACACTAAGCGTCTATTTCACGCTGAGCGCTAAGCACACTTGTGTTGTTTACTAGTCTCTTTGTCCTTATTGTGACTTGAGCATTTAAATCAGCAGACGACACAAAACTGCAGCACACACTAAGAATAAACAGAACGATATCGTGCTTTGGTGTGAATGCTGATATAATTATTGTTTTAGTTATCTTTAAAGTTATTGTTCTTGGTGTGAACAGGCCTTAAAAAGGACAAAATATAGGGTGGGGGCTTCGTTCTATGTATGTTTCTCATCGGTTGTTGATTGGACCGGAAGGTCCAGATGTGACAACAACAAAAAAAGAAAAAAGAAAAAGAAACATACATGGATGAATCACAACAAGTTATTTAACATGCATTTAGAAAATGCATTTGAATGCCAACTTTAACGTAATGATAGAGCCTCAGCTGTACGTTTAGCAGGAAAATATTACAAATATTATACATAGGGTAGCTCAAATGTATTTAGCGTCTGTACCTCATTATAGAGAAGCAGGGGTGAGTCTAAAGTCCCATTGCAGTCGTGAAAGTTTTTGTTGCAGCAGCTTAGAGGAACTTCATATTTCTTACTGTGATTAAACCAGGGTGTTTCTAACCAGTCTGTGTAGTTGTAAACACCACAACACCGCAACTGTAACAAAAAAAAAGTGTTACAATCTAATTTTACCAAACACATAGAAATGCTACATTTCTGAGCAAATACCTCACACTGAAGGGCATTTACTGCTTTGGTATCAGGATCTTGGCTAATACCACTGTAGTTCTGAAACACATCTTTAAGGGGAGCCAAGTCCACATCAAGCTAAAAAAATATTACATTTAATATTAAAACATTTCAGTGAAATACACATTTGTATAGCCTTTTGTATAACTTAAAACTCCATTTACCTTCCTTTTATGAGTGTATGCCAATGCTACAGTAGTAACCACAACGCAAAACACAATAATGAGAAAATACACAAACTGAAAGACAAGAAATATACAAATATGAAAACAACACCTCATTCTTATGAGTCAATTATTTTTATTCAGTCCTGTTTTTACTTCTTAAAAATACAAGTTTTTTCCATCTCACCAATCCGTGTAGACATGAAGGTTTTTTGTTGGACACCAGACAACCAATGCTTCCACTAATAAGGAGGATGGATCCTCCGACAACAGCCAGCAGTGCAGGAAGAATTATATAAAAGCTGCTAAAGAAAATACTGTAATCTCTGTATTTATGCAGCAAGAATGAACCACCCAGACCTGTAATCCCAGCAAGCTGGACACAGTAAAGAACAAAGGAATATAAAAACAAGAGGAAACAAAACAGCAGATGTATTTCCTAAAAAACATTTCCTTGTCATGTGCTGTACATGTGAGCAGCCATGTCACTGTTTTAGAAAAACATATTTTTCTATTTTTTCTTTTCAATGTAGTAGCCTAACACTCATTCAAATAATCCTATACTTTTGTTGCCTATACACATTACACAAAGTGTAGGCCTAATAGGCTATATCCATGGCTAGTTGTTACACTTTAATATTTCCCAGGCCATTTAAGTTAACACAATTCAGCATTTAAAAAATTATTTTAAATCTACCCCCATCATTGTTGACCCTTGCCTGTATTGTGTTCACTTATTTACCATAGAGCTATTACTAAAATATGATGCTATTCAAATTTAGTTTGGATTATAGAATTCCCAAAAAGGCCATTCATAAAATTTGTGTTTTAAACCAACACATTAAGCCACTTCTTGAGAAAACATGCAATTATATTTAAGTAGTTATGGCAAATGCATTAGTATTATGATGACAAACGAAACAAACATGTGCATGATGCTGTCTAAACTCACCGATAAAAGAAGAGAATCAATTATAAGAAAAATTCCGAAAGCTCTTCTCCTTAGAGCCATGGCTCTGCTTTAATCGATATTTACGCAGAATATCAAGGTCTCTCGGTCCAGTTTAACCTCAACAGTGACGATGACGAACACTGATATGACTTGATGGATTTATAAATCGAAACCAGATAAAATTGCGGAAGTCACGGAATATTGTAAACAAGCAGGGGGCACTGTTCAAGAGAAATAAAGTAATACTCAAATTCTAAATTCATATAATATAATAATAATCCTCAAATATAAAATAATAATAATAATAATAATAATAATAATATATGATATTAATTGGTGGTGTTTTATATGCTAACCTGGATTTTTTTTTTAAGTCTACTTTAAACTGTCTCATATACATGTATTTATATGTATTATTATTTTTAAGTAGAACACATTTATTAACAATTAGGAATAATAAAAACGCATGAAAATAAAACTAATAACCACGACGATACTGGTATGCTCATAATTATTATTGAACGCGAACACAATTTTTATATATATTCAAATGTTGACCTGATAAATCTGATATATTCAGACACACACACACACACAAAATAAGATTTTTTTTTATTTGACGTCATTATTTTGCGACAAATTTCTGGTCTTGTCATTGAGAAGCAAGATGGCGTCAGCATCAGAACATCAGGGTGCTGCTGACAGCGAACTGGACGAATTATTAGACAGTAAGTTTTTGAGGATGACTTAAATATAAAATAACGACAGTTAAAATGTGTGAATGTTTGAGCCCTTTTGTAATGTTACTCTTTAGTGAACTAGCGTTTGGAAGGCGGTTGTCACAGTGTTGCTGCTCCGCTACTATATGTTTTCATGCTTGTCTCACTTATTGTACTTTTTTTAGGCATGTGAGTGAAAGCATTACACTGTTCGTCGTTGAATTAATTAGAGATCATCATTATATCTCATTTATGGTCCCATTAAAAACTCGTAAATTATATACAAACCGGGTTTAGAAGTTAAACGGAGCTTTAGGAGCTGCATGTTTACTAGCCAACTTTGCTATTCATGCCGTGTAATGAAATCAGACACGACGTGATTATATATAATCAAAAGAAATGCACGTATACCTCTGGTACACCAATGTTTTTGTGTCCTCAACCTCAACTACAGGTGCTCTTGATGATTTCGACAAGACCAGTGTTCCCCCTGAGGCCCCCACTGCCCCTGATGCAGGAACGAGTGAAGGGAAGGTAATAAATACATATTTAAATTTTTGTAACAAGTCAAATAGTAACCCTTGCAATTTTACTGTAAGTTTGTTTCATGGTTGTCGCTGTTAATTTTTATTTTTTTTCACTGTTCATTTCATCCTCAGCCCCCTCTGCTGGAGGACAGTAAGTTCTTTGAGACACTCTTTGATGGTGAGATGGCCAATCAAGCACGCGAGGAGTGGGAGAAAGCCATGGCTGAGCTAGCGCAAGAAGAACCTGACCTTTTACAACATTTTCATAAGCTGTCTGAGGCAGCAGGTAAAGTAGGTGAGTAATCTGAAATGGAGCACTGTTGGATGAAGATATAAAAGCTTTATCCTATATTCCAATTGTTTTGTAGCCTGGGCTTCCCCATACTGCCTTGCCGCAGTGCGATTTTATTCACGCTGTAAGGCAGTCTGGAAACCATGGTCCTTATTTTTGCCTCATCTAGGGAACCAATCACAGAACAGGGAGGGAGCAGCAAGACGATGACGACGTCAATGTGACATACCAAAGCAGTTTGTTACCTTTGGATCCAACATGGCAGCAAACCCAAAGTTACCTTTCAATGCAGCCATACGGCTGTTTCACACATAGGTTTCACACCGCAAGCATGAGCGGCACTTGAGCAGAGTAACTACATCGTCGCTGCAGATGCGTGAGGGTATTCACACTGGAAGCCTTTGTACAGTGTCACAGCAGCAGCTCCAAAGCTACAGAAGCGAGCAATTGTTTTTAGAAGTTGGTCATTTATAACATTGATAGTCTTAAAAGTTTGTTATGGGGAGGTGTACAACATTCGCATTAAACAACAAAACAACCCAGAAAATGGCTCCAATCTATTAGTTTCAGTCATACTTCCGATATGTTTACAAGACTGCAACTCTGGATAAAAAACAAACCACACACTCGGGTTTGTAGCTGTCTATGTAGCTGTCTGTGTGTTACATAAACTAAAATAATGTTTATAATATTTTTTGGCTAGTTTACTTTAGTTTTTTTTATATATATATATAATTACCCAAACTGAATAAATAAAAACAAGTTTTTACCGGGTAGCCTAAATCTTCTATAAATATTTTTGAGTCTTTATTTTATTTGCCTCCTCAAGTTCTTGTTAAAACTAACTAGACATGCTTATTCTGCTTATTCATTTTGGGAACTTTTTGTGTGAAATCTTATTTATTTTTATCCATCAAAAGTGTGCTTTCACTTTAATTAAGCGTGAGTAGCGCAGCAAAATGGATTCAACGCCGTAACCCCCACTTCACTGCTGCTCACTCGACGAAACAAATATGTGCCGCTCACGCATGCAGTGTGAAACGGCTGTTAGATGCACGCCTTCGTGTACACATAAATCTCTGACTCATCGTCTTCTTCCTCGTCTAATTTCTGTCGCTCTACATACGTCATCTGGTATAATTGAAACGATTGGCTTATGAGCTACGTACAGGCGCATTTGATAGACATTCTTAGCACCCAATAAATGGCTCTGGGCATTCGTAAACGAGAATCTCAAATTTGGGTCTGGGAACTACGTTCATTTTCTCATGTTTCAATGAGACGTTAGCCAGGCTAATTGTTTGACAAATTATTATTGTTTTTTTTAATTTAGGCACAGATGTAGCTTCACAGCAAGAATTCACCTCCTGTCTTAAAGATACCCTTAGTGGTTTGGCGCAAAATGCGGACAACCTTCAGGTAACCCCACTTTGAGTTTCTAATATTGCAATGTAAAATAATTCAAGGAAATGATGTGACGTGGTTTTAATCTTTGGTATGTGTAATGTTTTGGTACAAAAGTTTGGGATCAGTACGATATTTTTTCTGTATTTGTAAGAAGTCTCTAATGATCGCCAAGGATGCATTTATTTGATTTGAAATACTGTAAATGTATAATCACAATTTTAAATAACTTTTTTTTAATGGAATTTATTCCTGTAATGGCTTTCATCTTCAGAATGTTCTCTTTTGGTTTGTGTGCACTCTTCACACAGTCTATCACTTAATGCCGTTCTCCCTGTTCCCTGCTCTTGATATAGAATCATGTAGAACATCTTGATTTTAATGAGTTAAAAAAAAACTATATGAGGATTTGAGTATGAATGTACTTGATATTAGGGGTGGGCGATATGGAAAAAATATCATATCACGATTTTTTTAGGAAAATCACGATCACGATTTTTTATCACGATTCTTTTTCAAGTTTGTTTTAATATTTTGCAAGTGGCTGTTCATTACAGCCAAACTAATGTCCCTATGTTAAAAACAAAGCCTTAGGTAACAAAATAAAAAAGAAAGGCATACATTTAGGCCAGTGGCGAAGATAAAAATCTTTGTCATTATTTTCTTTGTTATTAAAAAATAAGACAAGATAAACATTACACAAATTAATATATTTAAATTAAATAAATGCTTTATTTTTCGGATGCACTAGGTGTATTTAGCAGTAGCATTGAAGAAAGTAATTAAATTAAACAAATATGAAATTAAAACACTACAGAGACTTCACTGAATAAATTGATTCTTATTAAAGCTACTATTAAAGTTCTCAGTCAGTAAGTGATTTTCTCCTTGTGTTTTTTTTTTTTCTTTTACTAAAGAGATAGTTCCCTCAAAAATGAAAATGGTCTTAATTTACTCTCTCAAGATGTTTTAAACCCGAATAAGTTTCTTTCTTCTGTTGAAAATAAAAGTTATTTTGAATAATGTGGGTAACCGAACAGTTGCTGGTCCCCCTATAGTTTTTTATAGGTTCTCTCCTGGAAGTTAATGGGGACCAGCAACGGTTTGGTTACCCACATAAAAAAAAAATCGTTCTTTTGTATTCAGCACAAGAAAGAAATTAATACAGGTTTGTAACAACATTAGAGTGAGTAAATAATGACAGATGATTATTTTTTTTTTTTTGGTGAACTATCCCTTTAAGGACGTGCGGCAGTACTATTTATTCCTGTTGCTTTTAGACCAGCACGCGACGCGTTTAATATAGACGCATATTACACCAGATATTCTCTCAAATGTTTGCTTTCACTTTAGACATAGCCTGTTTATGTAAACATTGTGTGTATTTAACAGTATTAGCATAATAAGACTCGAAAGATAACTTCAGTATTCAGGCGCTGTTTGACAGGCTTCTAGTGCCTGTGATTGTCGTGGGTAATTTATGCGGTCAGGAAAGCGCACGTTAGAACAGCGCATTAGCGCGTGAATTAAATGTTTAACCGGCAAGGCTTATGCAAATAATGAACTTTTGTGAATTGCAGTGTCCCGTACCTGTTCATTAACGTGTGACCATGTGTAGGCTACGTCGCGTTGTACAGTTGAGAGACGGAGGCGCCAGAACTGAACTGATAGAATGCACTGTAACACGATACTACGATATTTCTTCAAAAGCAGATCGTGGAGACATTTTAATCGTCCACGATTAAAAATCGTCATATCGCACACCCCTACTTGATATCATTTAATACATATTTCCTGAATAAAAATATACATTTTTATTTTAAGTATTGATATTAACTAAAAATATCTTACTGGTCCTAAACTTGAAATGTAATGTATGTCAGAAAAAGTGTAAGGGAATGTGATGAACAAAAGTCATCCCTTTAACAAGAACCTACTCACTGTAGAGCCATGGGTGGAGTGTGAAGCTCAGCTCCCCCTTTCTGGACGTAATATGTGGCGCTAGATGGTCCAACCAAATCACATAACTCTATCCCTCCACCCCTTAGTTCTACAGAGGTAGAGTGGGACTTGGTCAAGCTCAACCCATGACATCCAGAGAGGGGGATCTAGATGTCATTTGGCTCTGCAGTGAGCACCACTTGCTTTTACCTTTAAATGTAGAGTGCAGGACTGGCTGGAGATGATCTGGTAAAGACCTTGGAGAACCTGGGATTGAATGAAAATGGGGAGGGAGGAGGAGAAGATGGCAATATTCTCCCAATTATGCAGTCCATCATGCAGAACCTTTTGTCTAAAGAAGTTCTCTACCCTTCTCTCAAAGAGATAACAGAGAAGGTGAGTTGTCTTACTGATTGTCCAACCTTTTTCTGGTACCATTGTATACGCCTATCATCAATTCAATATTTATTTTCATAAAATCTTGGGACACATTCCATTTAATCTTTTTTGTTGTTGTTGTTGTTGTTTTTACTAATCACACACTTTGCATTTAGTACCCTGAATGGTTGGAGGGCAACAGGCAGTCCCTCCCCCCAGATCAGTTCATGCAGTATGAGCAACAGTACAAGATCATGGGAGAGATATGCAGCCAGTTTGAAAAAGATGGAGACAAAGACAGCACATTTGAAAATATTCTAGAACTCATGCAAAAGGTAAAAAAAACAAGCTTTTTAGTTTTAAAATTGAGTAATCCATTTATTTGTATAATGATTTAGAGCCATCTTTTAAGGTTTGTTTGTATGTATGAATAATTTAATCTTTGTCTTGTACCCTTTTTACTTAAAAACATAATAATATAACTTAATATAACATTTCAGTAACAGCAATGTTAATATTTTTGTTAATAATGTCTTAGCTCCAAGACTTGGGTCAACCTCCAAAAGAGCTTGCTGGAGAGGCAGTGAGTATTTACATTTATTATTATTTTTATTATTTTACAATAGAGATGTAATTTCCATAATACAAATGTTTGTTCTCTTATATTTTCAGCCTCCTGGCTTGAATTTTGACCCAGAATCTCTGCACCTTCCTGGAGCACAAGGGCTTCCTGGAGCAGAGCAGTGCTCAGTCATGTGATCTCAATGAGGTCAAATTTATGTATGTTTAAAAACTATACAATTTGATGCTAATTATCTGAATTGGACACAGTGGATCATGCTCCGCTTTTAAAGGAGTTTGTTTTGTGTCTGCACTGAAACTGTGAACTTTACTACATTAATTTGACCTTGTAGTTTTTGTCCACAGAGGTTCTTTTCATATTCATCCCTAGTCCATTTACTGTTGTCACTGTAGAGCAGCTCTTAATGTTTTGAGTGAAGCTTGATATCTCAAGTGTGCCGACAGCTTTTTAAGAAAGAATCAATTTTTCTTCAAGCTCATTTGACAACTTGTGCGGTGAAATTAGTAGACACAAATTCATTGGGTGACAGGAAAAGTATTTCCACTTTAATTTTACTTTTAAAATCTCAGAAGAATGGTCAGAGGCTACAAATAGCTTTCATCAGATTGATGAAATCATTTTATTATAAACTGTTATATTGTATCCTCATACTATATCATTAGTTTTATTTCTGTGATTTGATAACTAATTAGTGACAAAATAATCTCAGATTAAGATTCATAAAAAAAACTAACTGCAGGCACTTCAGATCCAGTATATATTCTTAATATAATTGTGTCAAACATAGGCTGCATTTGTATTTGAGTGGAATCTAATGGTTATTGTGTCTGTCTGCATATAGTTCAGTTCGGAGTAGTGAATTGCCATGTATATCTAAATCATTGCCATCATTCCTGTGGTGGTGCCTTTGTGATCATAATAATAGTCCTAATTTGCCTTTATTAAAAGAATATGAATACTTTTTCTTAACATTCAAAGAACATCACCTTAAATCCCAGGATATCTGAAAAAGGTTACATTTTGTAGTCATGCTTTTGAGGGGATGTTTACAGGTTTCTTTTGCAAACAGTTTTGAATGCCTGGAAATGGGATCCTTTCACAGGATTGAGTATGGAACTGATGGTTGTCTTGCTTTCCTGACACATGTTATTGGTTATTTGTAGTATGGTATTATCTGCCCAATATGAGAAGGGTAGAATAGGTTTGATGAACGGGTCAAAAATATCCAATGGTTATGACACTCAGGGGTTGCTCAAACGCCCAAGCACTTGAATCAGCTCATCAATATTCTTTATCATGTTAAATATTCCCTTAAATGTACAGTTCATTGGTTTTTTAACTTAAAAGACCAAATTACTACATGAAAGTCTAATAATAAATGTTATAAACTTACATTATTCTTTGCCTGCTTGTTTTTTTTCCGGTTATATCAAATGAAACTAAGACCACTGACTACACACAGTTGTCTATGGTTGTTAATATATATTCTAAACATTTTAAAATTTTTGTGCCTTTAACACTTAAAAAAATAACTAGCAAGGAGGTAACCTTTGGACATTTTGTGGTTTGTTAATGGCCCTGTTATATATGAATGTGTATATATGTGGGTAAATATGCCATAGACCATTCTGTCTTGTTTTCTCTAGAACAATGTGATCATGAGATCATTTCTTTTTAAGTTATAATAATAAATTAGGGAGTTACTAGGGAAACTAATATGGCAAAAAAACATGGAAACAACCACAATAAAACCGCAGCAAATAATGCAATATACTATTTTGGTGGTAACTTATACTCGCAGTGTTACTGATTATTATTTCCGCTGTCACAAAAATGCGTTTTTCATATTTTTAAAATGCAGATGACGAAGGCTCCGTGACGTGGACTTTGTGATGTTGGCATTTGAATCATCAAACTTTATTTGTTCGAGCAGGGGAACACGCTACGGCCCGAGTTGTGTGCTGTGAGTAGACGTGTCAGCTACGGAAGTGGAGGCGCAGAATCATACACGCATAATCCCTTCCTAGCGGGGGATGGTTTTAGGATTTAAATTAACGTAAACTGATCAACATCTACATACATAACGCATTCCTGTTCGGTTTTTATTATTGTCGGTGGAAATGTTGACCAAATTCGAGACAAAGTCGGCCCGAGTGAAAGGTAAGATATCTGCTCTGGCTAACTCTCCTTCACTGCCTTTTAATGTAACGTTAATGATTATGTTTCTCTTTATGTACGCTTGTCTGATTTGCATCTATTCTTAATCATTGTTGAATATAATCCACTGTCTTTTCAGCAAGCATTAAATTAAAATCGTGCTGATTCTGAATACTGGAATACTGTAACTTATGTCATTCGGCGTTAGCACAACGCTAGTGTTTGTTGTTAACTTGCATGTTAGTCAAGACGTTGCTGTAAATATTCTCTTCTCTGATGTTTCAGTATTTTTGTTTGGTTGAGAACGCGCTGATGACATTATCTAGAGACCAGATTATTATAATTTACAAAGTAATAATAATCTGGTTATGTTTTCATAAGACCATCTTGTTGACCGTTTTTACGTTATATTAATAAATAGCTCAATTGATTATTTTGTCTTTTTCCGTAGGGCTGAGTTTCCACCCGAAACGCCCCTGGATTCTCGCTAGTCTGCACAACGGCGTCATCCAGCTGTGGGACTATCGCATGTGCACACTTATCGACAAGTTTGACGAGCATGATGGTATGAAACAGCCGATCAACTAACTTTATTTCAATAACTGCTGTCATTTATCCTGCGGTCTAATGATGATATGGATTCATTTAGGTCCCGTCAGAGGTATTGACTTCCATAAGCAGCAGCCACTGTTTGTGTCGGGAGGAGATGACTACAAGATCAAGGTTTGCTTGCTTCATTCTCAATACTGTTGTTTAAGAAATTTGTCACCTGGCCACTGCTACTTTTTTTGGAGTAGGTTACAGTTTCCATTTGTTACTACTAACAATAAAGAACAGTTCTAAAGCATTTGTTACATTTTAATGTGCTTTAGCAGTTACTGGACCTGAGCAAACATGAATTTAGTTCTCGATTTTATTAAACATTACTCAAAAATGAAAATGTATTCCAGAATTTACTCGCCCTCAAAACTCAATCGTAGTTATATTAAAAAAAAAAAATTGTGCTTCTTCCCAGCTATATAATGGTAGTGAATGATACCTTGATTTTTGAAGCCCAAAAAAGAGCATCCACCCATTCGTCATAAAAGTAATTCATACGGCTCCAGGAGCATTAATAAAGGCCTATATATAATACATTATATTATATATAATGCAATGACCTCTACTACTGGGAATGAAAATATAGAGACCAGACCTTGCTTGTAAAGTGTTACTGAGTTTTCTCACATCTTTTGATGTACTGACAGTTATTTGACTGATTATTAGGTGTGGAACTACAAGCTGCGGCGGTGTCTTTTCACTCTTCTTGGACATCTTGACTACATTCGTACCACATTCTTCCATCATGTGAGCCCTACTCTCATCCAACTTTATGTTGCTTTTGAATAATGTTTATTTAATTAATGCCACAATAGACTAACTTCTAGCTATATTTTTCAGGAGTATCCCTGGATCCTGAGTGCTTCAGATGATCAGACCATTCGCATTTGGAACTGGCAGTCCAGAACATGTGTCTGGTGAGTCTAAATGACCTTAAAATGCTCCACCCTTTTAAAAACAAATTGTTTGACCTGAGCAACACTATTATTACCTTTAGCTTAGTGAAACTGAGTTGTTCATTTTATCTATGCTGTCTCTTCTCTGTAGTGTGCTGACGGGGCATAATCACTATGTGATGTGTGCTCAGTTTCATCCCTCTGAGGACCTGGTGGTGTCGGCCAGCCTGGATCAGACTGTGCGCGTGTGGGATATTTCCGGTGAGGAGGCTTGGGACAGGATTGAGTGTTTTGGGAAGGCTGGGGAGGTGGGAATGGAGAGAGAGGATGTAGGAAGATAGAGGCTGCTTAATGGCATTCTCTTTCATCGTGTCCTCTCTCTTACAGTGTGTACAGAACAAAACTCTGTGGGCTTGAAGAAAAAACACCTCTCACACTCATGCATCAAGCAGTTGTCTAGTGATGTAATACTAGGGTTGGGCGATGTCCCCTAAATTAGCAGTTGACGATTTTTATTGTAAAACATTGCGATGGACATTGATATCGACAATGAGCAAGATTTCCTGAGACGCTAGAATAGTCTACTACTAATTCGTTAATACAGGCTGTTTTCTTGTACAAAATTAAATATTTTAAGTTAAATGTGCACTGTAAGACTGCACAACTTAAAAAAAAGATGAGGCTAACAATGCCAAGATCAATATTTGTGTAGCCTGACATGGTATTTCACGCTGCATGTCCGGCGATCCGTTCCAGGAGCGGTACGTATACAGCAGTGCAGAGATCGTTTACACACCGAGTCTATTTTGCACAGCTTATGAAACCCCAAATTCAAATTAGAATATTGTAAAAAGGTTTTCATAAGCTGTAAGCCATAATCATCAAAATTATTACAAATAAAGGCTTGACATAGCTAATTTTGCATGTAATGAGTCTATATATATATATATATATATTAGTTTCATCTTAAGTTGAATTCCTGAAATAAATGAACTTTTGCACTATATTCTAATTTTTCGAGTTTCACCTGTACATGGAACAAACAATTCATGAAACACTTAAAATAAAGGGAAGTTGAATGTGAGAGATGTTTTTTGAGATTCTGCATGTTTTAATGATGTTGTCAATGTCCTGTCCTTTGCTTTCATTGTTCTGAACCTCTTTCTTGCTCATTAACCTTTAACACCACTGCTGTCTGCACTGACTGAGAACAAACACTCGTTCCTTAACATTATACACAAGTTTGAAGCCTCAGCATAAGTTCTTTCTCTGCTTATTTTCCCTTCACATAAAATATCAAATTAATATGTTACTGCATGGATAATACAAATACATGCAATTTATTTGTATTAGGTATTTAAAACTAATAATTCTTCTTGAATGTTCTTGAATTTAACAGTGGTTCTCAGCATTTTTCACCCCAAGGTCCCCCATTGTCCTAACAATATTTTAAGTCAATCTTTGATTTAAAAAAAAATAGTTTTTAATTTTTTTTTACCCAATAAAAAATGTAAAGCATAAAATAAATAGAAAAGGTATACATGCATATACATTTTCTTTTTTAAATACCCAATGGAGTTATACAATTTTATTAATTTGCATCACTTTTCAAGGTGTATAGTTATATACTGTAGGTTTTCTAGATGGTAGGTATCCTGGTTCTTTTATGCTTCTAGATAAAACATTTGTTGGGGTCGGATTGAAATAATAAATATTTTGATTTTTAGCTTATTTTAATGCTTGTTTAAAATCTTTTTAATCTTTTACATCAATTTAACATCTTTCTCATTACAGTAAGTCTAATTAAAACGATCAGCTTTTCACATGTACAGGACCCTAGTTCATATCTTGCTTGATGGCCTTTGTCATCCATAGGTAATGTTAATGTTAAAGACCTCCAAGTGGATGCAACTTTTAGATCAGTAACATGAACATAGATCTGTTAGATCAGTAACATGAACATAGATCTGTCATTTAATCATTAAATTGACTCTTAACACAACATGAATGCATGATGAAGTCATGCTTACTGCATTAAATATGCAATAACAAATGCATGACTTAACTGGAGTCTTTCTCCCTCCTCTAACATCCAACGCCCCTCCAGAGAACATGTGAACACGCTCCATCAATCCACCAGTCAGTTCCATCCCTGCTCTCTTCCTGTACAGCTCCTATGCCCCTCTGGAAACATCCACATCTGTACATTGGTTTCTGGAGCAGCTTTTGTTGGGCTTTTATTCATTTAGCAGACATTTGGAGTGCTGAGATATTAGACACACATTCTGCTCTCCTTTCCTTTTCTCTGCGTCCAGACCTGAGTTTAGCCAATCACTGCCCTGTCGTTGATTTACATGCAACAAACCCAATCTGAAGTGATTTTCAGCTCTGTGATCACATTTAAACTATTCTGTTTTGAATGATTGTTGTCTTTGCTGTTTGTCAGGTGGTGAAGTTTACTATACTTCCTTTACTCGGGTTTAGACGTAATGGAGGACATATGTTGTGTTTGTGTTCTTGAGCACCTGCAAATGTTTAGCAGCCCAACAAATGTTTGTGTGTTTGCTGTCTCGCATATCATGTGTTTTTGAGTAACAGTTTTAATGTTGTTCCTCTGTTTTCCCTCCCTGGTATGTGGGTGTTCCTGTGTAATTTTCAAATGGGTCCCCTGTGCGTGTCGGACTGTAAATGTTGCTTCCAGGTCTGAGAAAGAAGAACTTGTCTCCGGGTGCTGTAGACAC